TAGGAAGGCCGAGACCTCATTTGCAGTCTGTTTCGTGAACTATTTATCACCCGCATGCGCTACTTTGCGGTACTTTACGGCACCGTAATGTTCGGTTACTGGTTTAGTCGTCTTGCCCAAATTTTGTAATTATATCGGTGTAGACTGATTTTTATTGTTTTATTTCATTGTATTTAGATATATTATTGTTGTTTTTTATCTGTATCTTGTCCTCTTCTGTATCATAGTTTAACGTATTGTGGATAAGCCCGAATGTCAAAATGCGGGTTTCTTGAAATTCCTGAAAAAAAAGTAAATGGCGGTTAGGAGGTAGTCTACCTCAAGTGACCTGGAGTCAAACTTACAGTTCTAGAGTTAGATTAGTATAGTTCGCGGCGCATCGGTGGTGCATACTCAAACGGTCTTTAGCGAAGACGGTAGGTTTGACCCCAGGTCACTTGAGGTAGACTACCTCCTAATCACCATTTATTTTTTTTCAGAAATTTCAAGAAACCCGCATTTTTATATTCGGGCTTATCCGCAATACTTTAAACTATAATACAGAATAGGACAAGAAGATTAAAAAACAACAATATTTCTAAATACACTGAAATAAAACAATATAAATCAGTCTACAGTGATATAATTATAAAATTTGGGCCAGTAAGCGAACATCACGGTGCCGTAAGGTGCCGCAAAGTAGCGCATGCGGGTAATAAGTAGTTCATTCCAGCAAACACCCCGTGTGTGTCATATGGAGACGTGGATTTAACCCTGTCACGCCTAGGTCAACTCCCAGTCGCCTTAGCTTTGGCCTACCATGTGGGACACGTCGAGTTAGGAAAGAGAAAGTGATATGGATGCCATATAAGTGGTCCTGGTTACAATGCAATCTATGTGTAATCCAACAATGCGAAGTATAACTGGTATTGCAAATTTCACTTGGAAAGGCCTCGTGTAGAATAAATATGGACAGACCATCGCCACCCATTTTTGCTCTCCATTCACGTGGGAATTTATTATCCTTTACCATCCTCTCTAA